TTCATTTAACATGGTAGGAAAAACAAATTTGTTAGTTATCTCTCTGGAAATTAAACCTCATTGAGAGTCAAATTATTCACTGGTCTTCAGAATAAAAATTGCAAGTTGTGCAAATACATACCTTCCTGCACACATGGACAGATCATAGTCTTAGTGGCTATGGTTCTTTTGGGCCAATTATCTCCTGAAATTGTCAAGCAGATCTTTATACCAGTCAAGTAATTTCTGTTGCTTTTCTGTAATAAAAGACTCATACCACTCTGGGGAAAACACAGAAAACTGTGTGGGTGCCTTGGCAGACAGGGGTTTAAAAATATCTGTGGTTTGTGTGGCTTTATTGGATAAAATGTAGGATTTTCCACCCTGTGGTTTAAATTTCCATGTGCTGGAGTTTGTAGAATTTGTTTTTCTGAAATATTGCTTATGTGTAAAATGAAGCCCTTACTTATGTTTAGTCGAGGCTGGGAGGAATTGACTCAGAGAAGTGATAATGGAGGCTCTGGAATTGTTGAGGGGCCCCAGAATAGACAGTTCAGTAGTAAGATATATTTTTTCAAATGTAGCCAGTTCAAATTTCTCCTAGGCAGTGAGTGATGAAGGGTGATACTTTTCAAATGCTGTTATCTTCATGTCCCTGGCTGGTGACATGTGAGGAGAGGAGTGGTACGTGGATTGGGAGGTTTAAGTACCATCACTATGTACTGGATACCCCTTTCGAAGTTCCTGGTCAAAGTCTAAGGCGCGGTTTGAGCTGCTGCTTTGTTCAGTCTGCTGGGAGTGCTTTGATACATGTGGCTGTGAGGAGTCCCACGCAGCGTCCTGTGTCTGTTTAATGCTGTTCATTGGCTATGAAAAACAAACCCTAATTTTTAGGAACATCCAGATGCCTCATGAGTACTGAATACAAGCATCCCATGTACACCCCTGCTTACTCCAAAAGCAGGGGAAGAATTGATGTTTTAATGGCTAAAATGAAAAATCAAACTACTGAACTATGATAAAATAACAAGACATCTTATTTTGAAAGTTACAGTACTGTATGTTTAGACCTAGCATGTTTTTGCTGTCATCTGAGTACGAATACTCTTATGTCCACCTCATTACTACCAGCAAGCACTGCAGATGGTGCTTTTTTTGCAATGGATCTTGTTCCCAGTGGCGCTCTTGAAGGCGTAGGTCATGGACAGCTTGGGAAACATGACCGACACATCAGAAATGATACTATTTGGTTATAATAAAAATAACCAGTTAACTAGAAAGGTCTGTTTAAAATGAATTAATTGAATGAATCAATAGTCAACTGCACTTAAAACTTTCTTGCTATATTCCTTTAAATGACTTCCCCCCCTTTAAATAAATAAATAAATAAATATCCCTCTGTTTAGTAAATTAAGAGTGGTTCATGGAAGGCCTGGGTAGATATCTGAGACAGCACGAGGGAGAGGCCAGATGTTTAGGAATGGGAGAAGAGGAAGGGAGGAGATGGAGTTCTGCTTCGCAAGTGACTGACTTTGTACTTGCATAAGAGCTCTTTCTCCTCTAAAGGGGGAAGGGCATGCCCTTGAAGGCAGCTTTTTGTTTGAATTTGTTTTGAAGTAGTTCTTTAGATTATAAGAATGTATTTTTAATGGAAGAAGAAATCTGGAAGAGATTTTGAGAACTATGGAGGAAAAAAAAAGTATAGTTTTGCATTGTGCAGATTTGTCAAAATGATCTCAAGGATTACAGTTGTGTTTACTTTTAAGGCTTCTTCTTTTAAGCTAATCCCTAATTGACTTACTTTTCAAGACACTGCCAAGAAGGGCATGTTGGAGTACAGTTGAATATTTGCTGTCATGGGTGAGGTATTTGGGTTGGGAATCATTCATTTTAATTCTCTAATAGTTGCCAGGGTAATGTATGATTGTCATCGCTTGAAGCAGATGCTGCTTCTGTAGAGTGATAAAGAACAATAAAATGTCTTCCCAGTGTGCTACTGTGTTCTTTGATCAACCAAAATACTCTTGATTTCCTGGTGATCTTGCTATCCAGCTTCTTTCAGTCGCTGTGTCTCTTGTGCCCTCTCCGCAATGTAAGGCAGCTGCTGCTGGTTTGAAACCTCTTTTTTCCCGTTGTACACACAGAGCCCATTGCTTTGCCTATTTTTGAATCAGCTAAATGGCTTAACCTTCTTGGTTTCCTACTCATGCCCCATTTATACAGCTGTGACCTCTGACAAGCTGTTGGGGTCAAGTTGAGTTTGAGGGTCCTTCTGCCTCGCCATGCCATGTCTAGGGGTTAAGCTTCCATAGCAGAGGTCACAGAAGTGAACATTGGCCAACTCTTCTGCTGTCTCGTGTGATATGTTGAGGAGGTCAAAGCATTGCAGCTCACCCTTACAGGGCAGAGAGATTTGCTCTCCTGTTCTCCTTTGAAGTTTCTGATTAGTGACGTATCGGTGGCTTTGGGAGCTGCAGGAGCCATCTAATGTGTCCCTTTTT